AAGGGTAAAGTTAGAGAGTGAGTGTGTGTGTGCGTGTGTGTGTGTGTGTGTGTGTATGTGTGTCTTCAAAGTCAAGTGCATTATTGTGTGCAGAATTAATGATAATCCTCCATAGTGCTCCTGTGCTGCATAAGCCCTTCAAGCCCCCTTTTTTACCTTTTACCTCCAGAACAACACACGTCTCACTGAGCCCTGTCTTACCTAAAGACCTGCCCAGATGCACAAAAGACAGACAGCTCAGACCGAGCGGGAGAGTGAGGGGGGTCAGTTGGAACCAGCTGGACAGAGCAGAAGTAATGAAAGACTTCTTCAAATCGGCAGCGGCTTGGTGTCTCCCTGCACAGCAGTGTACCTCTCCAGGTCTCTGCATGCATGTCCACACACACTCCTGCTCTCCTTTTCTCACTTTACTGCCCTTCCTTCCTCCTTCCTATTTACCTTCCCATCTATTCCTCCAATTTTGCAGCTTATCACTCTAATGCACAGCTTCTATAATGTAGGATATAAGTCTTAGGCGAGCTAGAGCGTATTAGAAAAGCTTTGTAAAGTAATTTCAAGAGGTACTCTATCACAAATAAACATTACCATGTCCTACAGTGACCATCATCTCTCATTTTATAACCATGAATTTTAAACAGATGTCTCTATGCATTCGCTTGCACAACAGCAAGTGTGTTTGGACATGGGAAGCTGAAGTGAGGGTTCACACTGGATTCTGTAGGGACGAGAATACTGCACCTCTGTAGTAATCACAATGGCCATGCTCCAACCATAATACTGATCCCCAGGACTCTAACCTCACATACTCATGCATATATATAGTGTACGTGCGCAGACACTGAAGCGCACAAGCTCAAAAAACACCCAGGTAATCATTTCCATATTTATTTTCTTTGCACTCATACTCCTCTCCACTTCATATGCTTTCATAAAAACAATGCCAAGCCTCTCAAAGGGGGTTAAATAAGTGATTTTTGGAAATCCCATTTGAAGGGCCCCGCTCAAAGAGTGGTGGGCATCTGTACCATGTCAGAGATTATATGTGAGGTTGCTGCCAAAAACTCAATGAGACCCTGGACTCGCTCAGTCTGGTGTGACTGTGGTTTCACCCCAGTTAAAGGCTCATATGGATTCATTTGATGTACAAATGATTAAACATATTGGATCCAAGTATTAGCACAAATAGCATACTCAATTCATCACTGTCACAAATCACCATCTTATAAACAGCCAGCCTAGCTTTTAGACACAATGCCTTGTTGGAGTATTTTTCTAATTCTTAAGCCCGATCTAATTAAATGTGATCCACTGGTTTGTGCACAGCTCTGTGCAGTTAATTCAAATCTATCTGAGACTTTGGGGGGGAAATAATTCAAACCCACATACATAAGTGTGCAAAAAGACTGAGGTTTCTACCGCTTCACTTACAATGTAGTAAACTCAGCAAGATGTCTTGAATTTAGGACGAGATGAAACCAGAGAAAAACAACGGGAAACATGCGTCACAGTCAGTTCGAGGGCACACAGGGCGAGGAGAGTGAGTTCATACCGAGCCAGTCCGCCGAGCCACTTTAATTGTTAGTGTGAACACAATAAAACCCTACTAATACCAGCTAAATCCTGTTTATATTAAATATGTTAGGTGTTTCTTTTATGGCATAGGGAGAACTGGTTCTAATCATCTTTTTAAAAAAAACCCATGGGCTTGTGGAATGCACCTGTAAATTTAATTGACTGAAAACCTCTGAACAAGTATCGTCCACACTGCCCTCTGCAGGGAACAGAGAGAAACTGAAGACATTATGTGTGATGGGGTGGAGGTGAAAGAAAGTGGAAGGGAGGAATGAGTTAGACTAAATAAGATGGATGATTTGGTCTTGCCTTGGTTATTTTGAGGACTTGCTTTATTCTTGGGTGTAATGAGTTCTCTTGATTTCTTCATCCTGTGGCTATTTTAATACCTGGTAGTTTGTCAATGCAGTCTGTTTCTAGCTGTTGTGGTTGGACTTGTTGAGGCAGTGAAACTGAGGGAAATTAAAATGTGTAGCTACCGTGTCCCTCTTCTGAACTACATAACAAGATCCAGGTGTGTTCATACACAGTATTACTTACACACACACACACACACACACACACACACACACACATACACACGCAAAAGCACCTCTGAGTGGCCCTGACTGCAGTTCGGACTGTGTGGTGTTGCGGTAATGAGATATGTTGGTGGCTAAGGTGTTAAAAGTTCCTCTGGGCTGCTGCAGAGGCAGCAGTGGGACCACCACCTTGGTGCTAAGCTGCCACTCATTTCAAGATCACTAAACACATATCCTGTCACACTGGAGGTAGACGGCATTGTTACTCTACTTGAACACACGTGCATTCAAACACACACTCATATGCACAGACTTACATAAACACACACACACACACCAACACACACACACAACACCACACACACACACACAGCATTCTAGTGACCCTGCTCGTAATCATCTCTGTCCCCGGGGCACATCGGGCTGTATGCTGTTGGTCACGCTCCGGCCCAGAAGTGCAGTTCACCAGACCGCCGTCTTTCATCACTATCTCCACGGCAACCACGCTCTAAGTCACCGTGACAACGAATTCCACCTGGGCCTGTGACACTTGCTGCCTCCTACAAGCTCAACATTCAATCACATTGCCCTATCTGCTCTATAGCCTTCCATAGCTCTTTATAACTCTATTTCTTATGTTCTCCCTGCCTCTGTCCTTCACTCAATCACTGACATACTCTCAATGAACCCAGTTTCTGTTGGTTGTTCTCCTTTTAGATGTTCTCCATTACTGGACGCATAGTCAGATTTACTTGCCAGGGGTTGAGTTGAAAACCTTGCTCTCACTCTTAAACATTAGTAGCATCCATCAAGTGCAGCACAGACAGACGAATACACATTACATCCTTATTATAACAACCACAACCACTCCTGGTGGAGTTCCTAGCTCCAGTTTTGCTATGTTGATTTCAGTTCAGAACTGAAATCCTAAAAATATTTGTCAGTCACAAACTATTTTGCCCCGTTTTGAAGAAAAGATCCCCAGGTAATGTAAGATCCACCAAGTTTATTATTTACGCGGATAATAGGATTTGGTGGTGCATAATCCTATTAAATCTGCAATTAATTACAATTTTTACATACAAATTGACACACAAGGAAACTGGGGCATTTGGGGCCCATAGGGGTCTGGGGCTTGACGGATGGAAACAAAGAAACTGTATTCGTAAGGTGAATAGTATGGATGATACTCAAGATGGTATCATCAAGTTACTCTATGTATGTCCCTGTGTTCATCATAACATAATGCACACAGGACGTATTTGATTTCAGAAAAACCTACAGTTCTCTGCTGCCCTCATGTGGTTGCACTGAGGAGGAGATTCAGACTGACAGTATCTGCTGAAAAGTGATGAGTGACCCACATGACTGTTTATCAATGGTTGACTAAATCTACATATAAAACCTTTATTCTATACAGTCAATGGATGTATGAGGCCTGACGAACCTGATGCATTATTTATAGTCTAATTTGTTCTTCATCTTACCAGTGTAATATTTAACACTCACAGGGAAGCCACCCCATTACAAACGGCACTATATTATATAGTACAATTGCATAGCACAACACTTAATAAAGTAAGGCTGTGTTATTTTAAAGCCCCCAAAAACTGTGGTATCTGGATTTGAACAGATGAAAAATAACTATTTCCCTGTAATTACATCAAAAACCATGAAGCTGATCATTTCTAACACTGCGGCCATGGCTTTTATAAAGGTCATGGAGATATACAATTACACATTTCAACAGCAAAAGTCATTCACTAAGTCAACCAATCATATGCAGTTAATATAGCAGCCAATGGGGTGTTGATACATAAATATACATGGACATTAATGAATAGGGTATGTGTTCATGTGACCACATGATATATATAGATACCTTATATATCTACTACTGCCCTTGCTGAGAGAGTGTGAACATTAATATTTATTGTTTTAGCATTCAACAACTGCAGCTCCCATGAGGGCGTCAGGAGCAGATCATCGACATAATCAAGGTCAATCACATGCCTCTAGCAGTGGGCTGAAGGTGACAGCTGCAGCAGTAAACCGTCCACAGTCACTTCCTGCTCCTGGTCGCGTTGAAATATTAAGCAGGTTTGGTGGTGTGCTAATAAAAGAGCAGGATAACAGGAAAGAGTTAGATCTTGAGGTAGCCTGCTGGAATGGCTCACTTATTTGTATTTGTGTTCTTTAACTAACTTTTTACGTCTACTTTTTTTTCCTGTGGGTTTGATTAATTTTCTTAATTGGGATAATAATAATATTTTGGAGGCGGGACCCCGCGCGCGGGGGGCGTTATTGTAAATAACAAAAACTATCATTCATTTTGGTTTAGGCCATAAAGTACTGTGTTCTGAAACACCTGTATAACCATTCCCCCCCCTCACCTCCTACCCAACACTACACAGGAGCGTTGCCGCATGACACTTAGTGTGTTTATTATGTCTTTGTATTATATACAAAAGTTTCTTTTACATAGGCAACTACAGTGTGAAATACATATTATCTTACTGGTCTTTTATACAAAAGTTTTTTTCTCTCTTTTTTTATATTTGCATATATTTATATATATATATATATATATATATTCTGTACATACTGCCTCCCCCTTTATTCCTGCTGTGCTATGTGCCACTGCAACGTAATTTTATTTTGAAGCAAATCCAAATGACAAATAAAGTCTGTCTCAGTCATTTGAGTAATTGTATTATAGTTCTGAAGGTGACCTGTAGGGGGCGTTACGAATTGTTGCATTTAGTCTGCCGCAAACAGCAGAAAGAGAGGAAGACAGAAACGTTCAGGCAGAGGGACCAAGAGGGGGGCAATAAGGCGCAATGGCGACCGTGCAGTGCTGCAAATGCACGGCCGAAAGGAAAGGGTTTCGGCGGGAACTTGATTCTTGGCGACACAAATTGATACACTGCGTTGGTATGATCCATGTGCAGTTTCTTTTTATTTCGTAAAAAAAAAAAAAAAAAAAAAGAGCGAGATTTGGCCCGGTAGCAGAGGGAAACCGTAACTCAGGCAACGTTAGGATTGCTAACTAATGCTAGCTGTTAGCTGGCAGCCTGGCTCTATAGACGGCCAGCTGTAGTTGTAGTGTTGTTGTTGTTGTAGTTGTTGTAGTAGTAGTTGTTGTTGTTGTAGCTGTAGTGCTGTAGTTGTAGCTGTAGTGGTGGAGGTAAGCTGGCAGGCTAATAAACCAGCTGGCTGCTCCTCACATATCTCTCCTTTCTCTTTGTCCCTCGGAGCTAGCTCGCTGCTCGCCGGTGCTCAGCTCTTTCATGTATTTTTTTTTCTTCAATACGACTGACGCGATATCCAACATGTTGCGTTAAAGGCGAATCATATGATTTGTAGTTGACCGATAGCTACAACGACGGCTTGGTGTGTTTATTGACATGTATGTCGGCTGTGCTAGTGGGATGCTAACGAGCTATGCTAACATTAACACCGCGGTGTTGTTTTGGGGGGAGGGGGTTGTTTCTGCGCCGGGGCAGCTAATGTCAGTGCAACATGAGAAAAGCGTACATCCCGGTGGTCTCGGGTAACGGGTTTCCACGAAGCGATTTCTATTTTGAACCCTTTTTTTTCAAGCAGTTAGCCTCGGGGCTAGCTCACGCGATGTGTACCGGGTTTGGTCTTGTTTGTGACGTTTAGTCAGAGTGACATCAAAGGCAGAAAACACAAAACGAAAAACACAAAGATACATTAACGCGTGTGCTGTTCACGAGTCGTATGCTTTGTACTCGGTATTGCAGTGTTGTTGGGGAGGGGGTCAGTGAGTGCACTCGTCTGTCACAACCTGTGTTATTGCCGTCAAACTGGTCCTGTTAGACAAAACGAATAAAACTGGGAGAACATGCATCAATACAGCTGTCAAACAACATCTTGTTATCTTGTGCCAGAACTTAATGGTTGTGTCTGTTTGTTTTGTCTTTCAGGGTTTGAAAGCATTCTGGAGGGAATTTATGGCCCACTACTGCTGAGAGACCTCAATTTATTTGATGGTGGGTGTTTGTGTGCTAATAGTCTTGATGACTTTGTTTATTCATAGCTGTTTTTATATTGGTTTTTTTCTGTGTCCCTTAGACCAACATTTGTTCCCACAATGTACTTTTTTATGTCAGAAATGTTGTTATTAAATATAAAAGTAACTAGAAATCTATTTTTAGATTTACACATATTTTTGCATAACTAGTTTCCTGTGTTTCTGCTACGTGTATTTGTGTCTCTCACCTGCTCCTGTAATCAAACCTGCTCCACATCACCCACTTCCTGGAGAGAAAAAAAAGAAAAAAGTCAGACTCCAGTCTGTGCTGCTTGACACCCTGACGCCCAAAGTTTGGAAGAACTTTCAACAAAAAAACAAAACACATTTATACTATATAAAACATGCATTTGCATCATAAAATATTCCAGTAATCATTCATTTAAGAAGGCAGTGTGGTATCAAACTTGAGTCAACCTGAAGCAAGAAAAAAACAAAACACTAGCAGTACATGGCACACAGGCCCCTAATTTCTCCTCTACAATTTTATTTGTAAGGGTATGAGCCTATATAGCATTAATGAAAATGCTGGCTTTAGATGCATGTAACTATTACCATAACTAAGGTACACAACACGCAGAAGTTCCTCTTTCTCGCTTTCAGATGTTTTTCTGTGAAAAATTAATCAGTGAGTCCAAAATGTCAATGCCGGCAGTAAATTATTTGGTCATTTGGTCTGTAGGATGTGGTGTTATAGTGTTCTTTTTTTAGGAACTCAAAAATCATCCCCTTTATTCAGATACAAATAATGCAAGTTAATTGTAATGAATATTAGATTTGAAATGAATAAAATTGAATTTCAGCTAAATTGAATCCTGTCAAGTCACCTTTGAAATGTAGTTATTGACTCGTTGCAGATTTATGTTACATCTGTCAGTGAAGGATATACACCACTCTACTGGTGGTAGCTCTACTATTTCCATTAGCTTAGAGTTCTTGCACTAACAACCAAACAGCACAGCTTGCTTTAGACTATCTGCAGCCTCAGTGCAGTCAGCAGTGCCATCTGGAGTCTGAGTGAGGCTAGACAGGCACATAGTCAGATGATGTATGATAGAGACCCGGCAGCCATGATAAATCTGGTGAAAATACAGTTTGAGTTTTTGTGTTTGTGTGTGGATATTCCACTTAGTGGCAAATCAGTTGAGAGATAATTTATAGATGAAATATCTAGAGCCAGGCGGTAGGCCAGCATTGGTCTTTGGCAAACAAACTGGTGTCAGTGTATATGTTATCTGATTTGCACCAATGTGAAAACTTTTTTTCTCCAGTATATAATGCAAAAATGCAAAGAAATGCAAAAAAAAAAAAAAGCATGTGGCAATATATTGATGTTACGGTTTTTCCAGTAGAGTGTGATGCGATTTACAATACTGTGGCAAGCAGGACAGAGTAAGAGAGAAAAAGCAGCTCTTAGCAATGTCAACTAGAATTGGTTGACAAAATATGTATATATAATTTAGTATATATAAGTTAAATATATAAACAATATGTAACTTAACAATGTTCTTTAATAATGTATTTTGTTTAAGAAAGGAGCCTCCTGAGTACTTTTGCATTGTCATATTGATGAAAAATCCACATAGGAAAGGTCTGTTTTCATTCAATCTCAAAAATGAACTATACATATTATAGATCATCATTTAAAGTGTTCTCTTTGCATAAAATTGGTGTGATGACGCATTTTGGAAACCACTTCTGCCTCTTGTCAAATTCTGTATCGTGACCACAGTAGGAGGCTGTTTGATCCTTAATCTATCATAATTTATTAACGCCTGGGTATGTGATATATTGTGTCTTTCAGACTGTGAACCTGAAGAGGTGGATGACTGGTCCCCAGAAGCAAGCTGCTCTCAATGTTCATTCTGCAACCTTCCCTTGGACAAACTCAGTGTAAGATAATCCGCAAATAGTGTTTATTTTGTGCCAATTTAGGTTATGCTCAGCTATTGACAGTTGATACTTTTAAGGGCACTGACTGAATTACGTCGGTGCTGCCAAGTACCGATGTTAAATCAAACGGTGCCAAATTGCGGTACGTGGGAGTGCGTCTGGGTGAAAGAGAGTAAGGTAGAGTAGAGCGAGAAAGAGAGGGAGCACCAGCAATTTTTTCAAGTCACGGTGAGTCAGGACATGCAGGCTTTGTTATGCAAAATGTAAACCTTTGGAGACACCTTGTTTAACACAAAATATATCTACAAACTGAAGAGTTCCCCTGCAGCAGTAACAGCTAACGATAACACACCTGCAGCCAACGCTGAAGTTAACCTTCCATGTGCAACAAAACTTTAAGTCATCGACAACTTCATTAGGTAATTAATTATCTAGTTGGATAAGTTGCTGGAGACAGCGGGTTGACAGACAGACTTGACTCACTTTCTCCCCTCCTCCCTCCTTGCACTGTGTGCAGGCAGGAGTGTTTGAGTTACTTTGGTAATGGGAAGTGAAGGGAGATTGTCACTAGGTAATCGATCACACTGTGAGTGAGAGATGCTATGCGGTGCAAAACACAGTGTTGGAGAGAAGTGTAAAAATTATTTTGGTTCGTTATGAATCTATGGTGGGGGAAATAAGACTATGGCTTGCCGCCAGACACGGTAATTAATGAAAACACTGAGAGGTTATTATTACATTATGCGTCTGTGAAAAATCATGAATATAATTGGGAAGACACCCTGGTTAGGTTTGCTCTCCTGATTTATGCTCTAATGTCTGTAAGTTGCCAAGTGTGCTGATCAACTTGACAGGATTATTATGTAGCGTTATGTGAGTGATTTTAGTATGCCCAAAACTGTAGTATGAATTCAATCACATTTTTGTGCTTACAGAGAGAGCATAAAGTACCGGAAAAAGGTACCATTGCATAACGTAGGTTACCAGGTATCGGTAACAGTACCCAACCCTAGTTGTTAAAAGTTAAGATATACGATATACTATGTGCATGATCTGAAAAAAAACTTATCTTTTTTCCTTGTAGGATCAAGTACCCGCAGCCACGTCGCCCCTCTCCTCCCCCTCTGATTACTCTCCCTGTCAAGCTCCAATCATCTCTGAGAGCAGCCAATCAGCACACAGGTTCCTCCAGGCTGTGTTTCACAAGAAAGGTTAGTCAGGTGTCTTTTACAACTCTTGGAAAACAGCATAAACGTGCTATCTTATGGTACACTAAAGCTCCTGTTGTAGGCGCACAGCTATCAGCTTTTGCCCTGTAGTGACGCAGTTGCTATCTATCAGCTAGAAGAATTATGTAACGATGCTCTAAATTGGTGTAGTGGAAAAACAGGACTGGTCTGTCCTGAAAGGCTCCAGATTGCTTAACTTCCAACTCAGACTTGTGGTTAAAGTTAGAGCTAGGAGGGGGCAATATGGATAGTGTGACATCATCATCATTATGATTATTATCATAATAATAATTATTATAATCATTTTTGTAAAACAAATCTTTTAGTAGAAATTATTGCCCACCCCTACCTTGATGTAAGCAAAAAGCAGAAAAGGAGTTAGAAAGATGGATATTCCCAACTATTAATACTTAAAAACTTTCTTGTAATTTGGGATGTTCTGGAGAAACTTGTTACTTTTGCTGTTGTGTCGGAACTGGGAGAAATTTGTTAAAATGGATTTATTGTAAAATATAAAATGTATATAAAATATTTTTTAACTTATTCCTGTGTCTGTGGCTTCTTCATTAGATGTTCCCCTTGGCTGTGATTCCAACATCCCTCTGGTTGCTCAGGAGCTGATGAAGAAGATGATACATCAGTTTGCCTTGGAGTACGCATCCAAGTGCCTACTCCACACCAGTACAAATGGTGTTACAACAAGGACCTCATCACCTCTGTCAGAAACATCAGATGCCCCTCTGGACCTCACAGTGAGCCGAACCCAGGAGGAGAAAGAGAGTGAAAGTGAACCAGGTAGGGAAAGTAAGGCAGGCTTATTGTAAATTCAAAGCCAATAAATAAATGTTTCCAGCTTTCCAGACTCTCAGGCCACATTCAGACTCAGGTGTCTGTGTAGCTGCAGGGTCGTGCAGCGGTGTTGCGTTTCTTCAAAAGTTGATTCTGTTTCAGTGTGTCCACCGCAAACGTTTTTCCCCCCACCGTCGCAGCCTAAAGGCACTACGCTCATTCAAAATGACGCCCGCTGGAAGTATCAAAGTACTGTAACTCAAACCCTAACCAGTTTGAATAATTCTTCTTGTAACAGATGGCGTGCTCGACCTCTCCAACAGGAACTCTGCCTGCTCAGCAACTTCATCAAAATCCTCATCTAATCACAGAGCCTCAGGGTAAGAGTTATTTTATTTATTAATTTATTTTTATGACTGCTGAGGAATTACTGGGGGGAGGGGGGGGGGTTGCCGCTGCAGCAGCAAGGACTCAGCCTTGGTACGTGGGGCACCAGTTATACCAGGTGCGCTTCTCGGGCACCCCAGGGTAAGAATTTTTAATTATTGGATTTCCTCTGTCCATACATTTGTGTTATTCAGCCTGCACAAGGAAGCCCTATCATTATTATTGGTTAAAACTGGGGGTTCTTTTTAAAATACAATAATAAATTGAAATACTTTTTTTGCATGTGAAATCTCAATTTCTGAGTTCAGCTCTATTGTCTACTGCATTTCCCTTTAGGTGTATAGCACGACTAAGATTGGGAGATTAGCATTAATACTGTGTTGTGTTACTGTAATTTCTACCAGCACTGCTTGATTTAAGTTAACTAACTAACACCTCTCTGGCCAGAATAATATGGATACTCCTTTGTTTAGCAGTGCTTTGGGTCAGTTCATTGTTAATTGAAAGCTTGCGTTTGGTGTTCTGTGGGGTTGACTCTTTTATCTCTTGAGCGGTAACGTCACAGCAATGACACCGTATTATAACATTTGCCAACAGCTCAGGATTGTACAATGAGGAGAACATTGCAGTATCTCACAACGATTTTACCTTCTTTTTACTGATCCACTTATGATGAGTTTGATTATTCAACTTTCAAGCATGTAGGACTCTCACTGAAGGATATCACGTGTGAGCGCCAAAGTAACCCCAGCCATTCACAGACTGTCCCACCTGGACGTGAAGAGGCTTTGCCACACACACAAAGAATGTGTGTGTGCATGAGAGACACGCAGCAGTGTGTGTGTGTGTGTGGGTGTGTGTGTGAGGGCACAGAAACAGACTGAGAACAGACAGACATGAAAGATAAGAGTCGCAGTGATGTTACCAACACAAGGCATAAAGGAGTGGACCCCTCGCTCTGCACCCCCACTGTCCCCTATGCCAAAATCAAACCACCTCCATCCTGACCCTGCTGTTTGGTCCTCCCATCCCTAGGAGGCATCGCAGGCAGAAGGAGGAGTACATTGAGAGGAGCTTGGAGCTGTCTGAGGGTTTGCTGTCCAAGGCCTTGAAGGATATACGTTCAGGGAGGCTGCAAGAGCAGCGGGCTGCGTTGCTTTATGGAATACCTCTTCACACCCTGAGGCAAGGTCTGGACGGCTGGGCTGAGGGAAGGCTGGGGATGCTTCATCAACTCGCACCAGGAGGCAGAGATTTCAGGGATGAAGTGACATCCTACAATGTGATGTCATCAATGTTTGGTGGTGAAGCCCGCCTTGTTCTGCAGAAGGTGGCAGCGTGGGCAGAGCGGGCAGAAATTGGAGGAGTAGCAGAGGAGAATGGAGATTTGAGTTTCCCTTCATCCTCTCTTACCTTTTATCAGCCGAGTGGTCTACAGAAGACCCTCCCCCACTCTTTTCCCCAGCTCAGGGATGTGCTCAAGCCACCACCAAGCCCCACCCCCAGTCTGGAGCCACCTACGCCCCTGCGTATTCCTCAAGTCCGTTCGGTGTCTGACCATAACAGGTCAGTCCCAGCTGAGAATTGCAGCGTGGCTGAAAATCAACTTAAACGAACCTCATCAACAGAAGGTACTGCCAGTTCATCAACAGCTACTGCTAGACCTTCATCTCTCTTCAAACTTAGACCTCCTTTCTTACCACATGGCTGTCCAGGCATTGCCAACCAGTCACCTCATCGCCTGGGACCACGCGGGTCCTCGCTGGATGATTCAGAAGAGGGGGCAGGAGGCCGGGATAAAGACAAGCAGCCGAGAAAGAAACGTGGAAGATACCGCCAGTATGACCACGACCTGCTGGAAGAGGCCATCACCATGGTGATGGGAGGTCGCATGAGCGTGTCAAAGGCCCAGGGTGTTTATGGTGTGCCGCACAGCACACTGGAATACAAAGTCAAAGAGCGTACTGGTACACTGAAGAACCCGCCCAAGAAGAAATCTGCCAACTTTTGTTCATCCAATTCCAACTCGTCTGGATCTGGTACCACGACCGGTTCCACTAACTCAGGGACTCTTGCCTCAGCTGCTGACGCAAAGAGGTTCTAGACCACGAAACGCCTCCAGAACTCCTCAACACTTGAACTCATCACCTCTTACAAGATAATTGTTTTCTGGAGACACTTGTTAAAACACAACACATGCCTTTACAAATTATATGGATATTGATATTCAGGTCTTTTAACTATGTGTCTGTAATGTGATAGTCATACTTTTAGCATTTCTCTAGCTTAGTCCTGGTCCAGTCTCTGGGCTTTGATTAAAGCAGTTACGAGGTTCAGCATTTTTTAAAGAGGCAGTGGTGCTCATTGCAGCTTTAGTCCACAGGGGCTGCTAAACTCAACAAACTCCTCGTAGCTTCAGTTTTTATCACTAAAGCTAAAAGATCTTTAAGGATATGGCTTGCATTATATTATCTGTTTATTAAGAACAACAAATCAACCTGTGGGAAAGACCAAAACTAAATTTAAATTTTCAGTGGCCACAAGTTTCTTTAATAGTTTTTTGGTGGCAAAGTGTCAGATGTGTCTGCACAAAATGCATTAAATAACATATATATATATATATATATATATATATATCATTTCTGCATGACAATGAAGTTCTACAGTACAGAGATATAAGCTTAATCAGTCTATGGTTAAAAAGACTACTTATAAGGAAAAGTCTGTTGTTGGTTTTGGTCTTGTTAGGAAATTTGTTGGTAATCAGATAAAAATAAACACCAGCATTATCCTTAAAGAGCTTCATGAAGTTCTCAACTTTGTTTTCATAATTCTATGATTTTGTTTTTCCTCAAGGAGAAAAACTGACATTGATTGTTATCCACCAGATTGCCCAGGATCAAGTATGAGAAACACAGTTGTGGGCTGGAGCTAAGAAATCAAGTGTGACTCTCATGTTTGCTAGCTGTTAGGTTATTAGGTTATTCAGGTTTGATTCAATTCTTAAAGCTCCTTGTTAATGGAGCGTTGATGATTGTCATTTGCAGCTTTCTATCTCTCTCTGGGTATTTTACCTAGGCTACTGAAGTGACTTAGAGCCATTATGACAGATTAAAAACTCTGCTATTGGTAGACACCTCTACAAACAGGGAGATTGTACAGTACAAAGTGCTGTGGTGGCTACATCTTCATTATGAGTTTTTGTTAAAGAGATTAGCTTAACAAAGCCATTTCCTGTCCACATAGTTTTCCTCTCTATTTGTGCAAGCTAGTCTGAATTGTATTGAGTGTAGTTGGAATGCAACTGTGCAGCATGTTTTAAAATGTGCACTGATAAGCTTGGGAAATATGGTATTGTGTATGTGTACTGTTTGTGAAAGATGTTCTTTTTATTATCACAGATATTTACTGATTCTGCTACTGTAGCTGTATTACTGTAAACCTCATACATGACTGCTGCTTAAAATTTTACGCTACTGTACCCGTTTCCCAGGCACAAAGAAGCCTAGCTACAACAAAGAAGCTCATTTCAACTAGAATTTAGTGTACCGATAGGGTTAAATGTTATTGATGGTTGATTGTGTAGGCGACTTGAGGTTACAGTAGCTTCTGGTGAAACATAGGCAGTGCGACAATGACTTGATTCAGTACGAGGCTTACAGGCTTTTTTTGTCTGTGTCTGGGGAAATGCTAAATGTTGCGTCTACACTCATGTCTGTCTCTGAGATGAGCTTATTTCCATTAACAGTGCTACTACCAAAGCAGCAGTTCAGGGTTACCCACACAAAGCTGCTTCGATTTGTTTTGCTGTGATGTCAGCCTGCCTGTCTCTCTCTTTCTCTCTCTTTCTCTCTCTCTCACTCACTAACCTCGTTGCCACATATACCTCTGAACTTTCTCTGCCTATAGCCCAGTGTCAGGTTTCACATCAAGGCTTCTGTGTTATGATACTGAATCTACTGGGGTATGAGCTCCTATTAGCTTAGGAATACTTATGAGCTGTTTGTCTCTTTAGGAACAACACCTAAGTGTAAATATATTGCCATCAACAACATTTTAACTTCTTCAAGTAGATTGTTATACAGACAGTCAGCCATTAAGTGGAGGAATTAAAAAAAAAATGGTTTTAACTCTGCCCTGCGGCATTTACAGGAGATCTGCCATGTATCTCAGCTTGCAACCAGGAAGCAGAGATTCCTGGTTCAAGTATTTGTCCTTGTTGGTTATCTTTGTATGTGTTATTTGTAATTTTAAGGCTAATTGTAAAGCTTTTTATTTGTAACTTTGGCAACTATACAACTTCTGATGTCTCCGCTCCTGAATGTCTCCACTCATAACAGTACACTGCCTGCCTATGTCTGGGGCTACAGCATAGTGCAGCATGATGTCTCTACTCTGGGAAGTATCTGCTATTTATATCAAAGGGCCAGTTTGTAAACAAGCCTAAACACCTCTTAACAAATAGAAAAAGTTGATTATTTAATTGTATAAGTTTGATTGCAGTATATTCTGGGAACACACCTGGGCTTGTTTTCAGATTGAGCCTAAGGCATTTTTTTGTTTTTGGGGTTTTTTTTGTTTTTGTTTTTTTGCTGGCAAATCTTTGAAAGGAGTTATCAGAAACCTGCTATTTATGCATAAATCAATTATTGCACTATGATTTATAAAAAGCATTTTTGTTGTAGAAACCTGTTTTGTGTTGTTGCTGCATACTTATTTATTGATTGTGCTAAAGAACTGTGATTTTACTAGTTTGATTGTTGTAGTTCTTGATTTGTGATGGGGCACTTTGATGCAATGTGAAATGTGTATTGCTACAACTGCATGAACGCTTTTAAATGTTAGCTTATATAATTTATTTAGTCCTGAAATGAAACCTCTGACTATTGTGGTTGTTTAGTGCTTATGTTAAGATGCGATTATTTGTGTTTTTTAAAAAAAGATTTGATTATAATAAACTCAACAGTAACACTACAGAATGTAACACTCTTATACTGTATCCAGCCCAGTTAAACAGGTCTGGGTGCAAACAATACTTATATTGTTAGAAATAATATCCACTATCAAACACTTTTAATATTATTTAAATCAATGACTTGCTTTTGTATTGAAATGAATCACTCACAGGACCTGATTTAACTGTTAGTTCATTTGAACATTAGAGGTTTTTTTTTGATCCGTTAGTTTGTTGGTGAAAGTGCTGTTGAAAAAAAACAAACATTTCGGTTTAAGCGTTTCTACAATCTTTCCTTCTGCTTTTAGCAGAATGTTATCGTTTGCCTTCAGCAACTTATCAATAAAACGGTTCTCTGATCAGTTGCCTTGTCATAATTTTACTAACATAATGGTTTCTTTTAGTGTCTTTCAGTTTGTAACAGTTTACCAGGACAATTGTTTTGTTTGTTAATGTTTTCAAAGAACTGCTTTTTTTATGCTGGCTTGAGATAAATAACAATCCTGGCTAGAATATGATTATCAACTTTCTCTTTCCACCCCAAAACTTTCTAATCATAGTTCAGAGCACACTCGCTAAAAAATGGATGTATGTACTGCTCAAGGCAATCACAATGTGTGGATATTTTGTCAGACGTCAATTTCATTAAGAGTGTGTACTATCATTTCATACAGAGGATACCTTCATATCTTTAACTATTTTTATGTGGTTAATTTTTAGCTAGTGTATATTATATATAAGTGTTATTCTAATGATGTTAGTAAATGCAGACAATGCAGTTAGCACATGCTGCAGGCTACAAACAACTTTTACAATACAGCAATAATAAAAACTGGGAAAACAATTGATAGAAGAGTAACATTGTTCACTATAAAGTGAGAAATTTGAAGTGGTGAATTGCTGTCAGCTACAATGTCTTTGGTACTGCTGCTGAAGTCAGAAAATGTTTCTCATTAAACAGGCCCCATGGTTACAGAATATTCAGATATGGATGGAGTTTAAATCATACCAGACCATGATGAAATTAACACAATATAAAGTTTATAATAGTAGTACTTAAAACACAATCAGTCTGTGTGAGTACTCATTTGTTGTTTGTCACTTGAAAATCGGCTCAGCTATGAGTAAAATGGATCTCTTTTATTTTTCCTTCTAGCCCCCTGCTGCAGTCATTTACAGAAAAATTGGGAGATCTGGGACAACGAGGGACTAAGTGTCATCAGAGCTCTGCGTTGGACGCTGTTTTCAGCTCACTCTGCCCATCACACCGTTCCTTACTCTACCAGATCCTGAAGCTGGCACACCAAGAAAAATTGCTGTTGCTCTTTAATCACAGACCTGTTGGTCAAATTGAATCTCATTGCTGTCACTGTGGTGTAAACCCACAGGATAATGTTACCCCTAATGCAGTCCTATTTAGTGAATGTAAAGTCCATAACAGCTGCCCATACTACCCTTTAACTGATTGTGATCATCAAGGTCATAGCAGCACAATGTATAGTCCAGGAGACTGCAAGTCCAATTGTAGTATCCATCACTACCCTTTAACAGACTGTAAAAGTGAAGCTCCACAGGACTCCAGCTACTGCTCTTTGCAGAGGTCCAAGAGGGAAACCTGCCCTGTTCTCTTTCCCAAGAGGCTACACTTCATTTCCTGCCAAAGCCTGGCTGTAGGTCGAATCAAGAACACAGTGTGTTCATTTGCATCCTCTCCTTCGTCGTCTAAACCCCCTTCACTGTGCACTCCCTCTTCTAGTTTATGCCCTTCCTCATCGATCTGCTGTAACCAACACAACCCCCACTCGTGTCCCTGTTATTCTAACCATGGCTGTCTGACACAGGTCAGGAGCATAACAGAAAGAGGGGTTGGAGATAGCGATCCTCCTTGTCCTGTCCTGAAGAGAGAGCAGAGCCCCTCTCCTCCCCCTCTGTCCCCTATACCCTCAGACGTAAATAAGAAAAGTGATGAAAAGCCACCCTCCCTCCTTCACCATGGACAAGAGGAGGAAGCTGACCTAATGGTTAAAGATGGCCTTGTGAATGGAATCCACCAGGAAACAGATATGGAAAAGGAGCAAGAGTGTAGGACCCTGAGAAGTAGTCAGGCTGAGCAAAACTCAAGTGGAACTTCACTGCAAGATGTTGTGAATCGCTTCAGTGAGAAACTGGAGACAATCAGACCTATAGAGAAAGACCCACCTTCGGTTTCCACAGCTATTTATATCTCTGAAAAGGAGCAGCCACAGTCTCCCTTAACCAGTCAGAACTTGCAGTTTCACGCTGATTCTCAGCTGACTGAAATCATCACCACAGTGCTTCATACAGGCAGTGCTAGTGATTACAATCTCAGTGAGCTGTTCAATCGCCATGATAGCAAAGAGCCCAAGTCACCTAATACCCGCTCCCGTCTTCGCCGACGAGTCCTTGCTGCTATTGCAACACCCACTGATGATGCTTCAACCAGAAGGCACACTTTAAAAATTAAAAGAGACCTTGCCATGTTTGACCAGTCCTACAGTAAGAGAAAGGTGCCACTATCAAAGAGGGCACGATTGAAAGATGGAAATGCTACTGTAACTACATCAAACACTTCATCAGATTCAAACCTAGTTAAAGAGGAGTCAAAAAGAAAAATGGAGGCAGATGTGGAACCTGTAGAGAAGTATCAAATTAGGGAGGGACCACTGAACATTCTCACTGCAGAAGGTAACAGGAATGATTTAAAAGAAGAGATAGAGACAGTTACAGTTACAGAAGTTCAGATCATTAAAGCAGAGGAGAAAGAAAGGGAGATATCCAGTGAGGAAAAAGATCTTACTCTCTCAGGCACTCAAATACCCAACCCTGAGCTGCAGTGCAAGTATGAAAACGAAGGCACAAAGAGTGATGGTATACAAAGAGAGGTGATGACAGTGACTGCAACCTCAGCAAAACAGCATAGCAGGCCCTGTGAAGAAGATGGTATGGGTAGAGATGCTGGAAGTAATGCAGACCATGAAGTCCCATCAGGTCAACATTCTGACAGTAGACCAGGTAAAAGTAGAGATTACCATTTTCCTATTAGAGAGAAACAGAAATGTCAGTCACACCATTCCAATGAAGGAAGGAGATCCAGGAGAAATATTGTTCCTCCACAGCGGTTCTCCTCTTATGTCACAGAGCCTAGGAAGATGTTCTTTGCTGCTTGTTTCTCTGAAAGCATCTTTAATCAGAAAACACAAAAGGAAAAGGCATCAACATCCAGCACCCCAGATGCCTTATCTAAAGATCCAGGTGCCGTGGACACCCAGCTTGAATCAAGGTCTTTAGATAAGGCATCAACATGTAGCACCCTGGATGCTTTATCTAGACATCCTGATGCTGAGGACACCCAGCTTGAATCAATAAATGAAACTCCTCTGTTATCACCTGAGCACATATGCAAACCTACCTTTGAATCAATGCATAGAGAACAATGTGGATCAACTACTCAAGAGTCAAATCATGTCCTTCCACAAACTGTGGTTTCCAAAGAGAAGAGTCCTAAAAAACACAACAAGGATAATGGGACGGATGACGGTGACTGTGGTGCCAAACCTTTTGGAAGGCTACGATCATCTCCAAAAAGACTACAGGACTTAAAGACATCTTCAAGAACTCCCCAAAACACATCAAATATCGTCACAATTAAGTCTGCTAGCTGTGTTGAGAGCCCACCCAGCTCCCAAGCTCAGTACACTAGTCCAATTAAACTCATGTTTGTATCACCAGTAAAGGATTCGGAAGGAGTCAGATATAGTCTCAAATCAGCAGGTGCAGGTTCTAGTGGACAAGCAGAGGAACCTTTTGACCCATGTGAAGAGTCTTCATGGTCAGGGACACTTCAGAAACACAAAAGCCAGAGCCCTGAGTCTGTTACTTCACGAGTAAAATCTATTTCTTCACCACTAAAGTCCGCTACCTCACCTGCAAAATCAGCTTCTTCGCCAGCCAAGTCA